TGAGCGAAGAAGAAGGATCGTGATTTGTAGGCTGTATCGAGAAACCGCCGATTGGATCGATCGTGGGGTTAGTGTGAGAAAAATTAGGGACTTCGAATTTAAAATTAATTAGTTTCTTGCTTTTTTTTTAACAAAACTTATGAAGCATGAGCATGTGGCACAATATGATTGGCTAGATGACTTGTGCTTTAGTAGTATAATAACTAGTCTTTTGTCTATGCACCGGAGAATCATATTATTTTATCTATTAATCTTTTTATAAAAAATATATTTTAATATAATTATAAATTCACTATGTAGGGATAAATTATGGTGAGAGGATTAAGAAGAACTCATGTTCCAAATATCGTTAAATAGACTTGTCGATTTGATAGCAATTCAGTTTAGAGAACAATAATCACTAAGAATATATATCTCCTTAATTTTCATTCGATGTGCTAAAAAGTTAGTTTTTGTCCATTTTTTTTTTTGATCTCTTGCAAACATTAATTAGTTTCCAACCTTAACATATAAATAGCTTTGGGTCGTAACTTGTAACCAACTGTCTCTACTTCCCAATATTTTAGGAAATTTGAATGAAAGAGATAATGGAGATGGATAATTATGATAATTGTATTTAAATTGTGTTTAAAAACGTGAATAACACATGTCATTATGAGAATTGATGAATGATTTCTGCTTTAGCAAATAAAAGATTTGCATTCAGTACATTCGTAGAAAACTAAAAACTTTAGTTTTTTACTCGAATGATTTTAGTTGTGATGAATGAGAATATGTTAAATAGTCTCCTCTATAACTACTAAATTTCATTAGTTTCAAAACATCTAGTTTGCAAATTGAATGAAACGAACATAATGCATAAATATATTAAGTACTAAAGACCATATGAAATAGCAACTAACCTTAGGTTTGATTTGTGGATACCAAACCCGAATTCGTATCAGGCATATTGGAAACACATTCATTAACATATGAAACTACAATTTTAGCTTTTATATTATAAGAAAAAAGGAAGTGAGCAGAAAATTTTGATCGTGAACGTATTCAAATTTTGGAAGTTTTGTCCACAAGTCCTCTTCGTTAAATTTGATATTTTCTAAGTTTTCTTTAAAAAAATATTAGATTTTCTATTATTTTAGATCTAGCAATTTCTTTCCATTTGTATTTTTGATTAATTATGTTTCTTAA